CTTGATTTGATTCAGAACCAAAATTTTAAAACCCAACTCTGAATATTTTTAGGATATAAAAATAAAAATCCGTTAATAAAAAGTTAAGCTATATCTTGATCTTTTGGATAACTTTATTTAATATGCTAATATTTGATTTATTTAGTAAATTTGATTTTATAACAATGAGGTAAAGGGTAATATGGTGGCAGATACATAATATCGAAGCTAACACGAGTCTATCAAATAGAGCCTAATGATTTTATATCACTCAATTTATCACACCAATATGAATTAAGGACATAAAAACACTCGTCGAGGGCATCATATAAAATTGGCCATAAAAAAATATTTGATTTTTTAAAAAAATAACCCGCAACCCGGCTTTTAATTTATTTTTAAAAAATTAAATATATATATAAAACATGAAAATTTTTTATAGATCTCTAAAAAAACTCACCCGCATAGTAAATTATAGTTAAAAAATTTTTTTAGACCTTTCTTTATATATTAAATTCCTGTTGATCTACTTCCGACCACTGTACAATTTTACTATCAACTACTATGGGATCTTTGGTTGAAGTAGGTGGCATAGTGTAATAAGATATCTTTCCAGAATTCCAATCTTGCAAGACAATTCTCGCTGCCGCCTCAATATCGGGAATTCCACCGCGTTTCAATTTTCCTCTTTGACGAGCAACATGTATAAGGAAATCATTGGTGTCTTTAAACATAGGAACATTGTATCTGTTCATGAGTTGTTGTGGCGAGCACCGAGAGACGATCAATTCAACTAAGGACAAATACAATATTGATGCTGTTATTTAACATGATATTGAATTGTGAAAGTTATTACAGTTATTACAGTAATTTATTACTAACCAGGTGAAACTGGGTCATCCAATAGTTCAATTTTAACGCAATTCTTTAATAAAATTTCGGAATATTTATCATCTTGTTCACGAGCGAACACAATTCCCGGGGAATCCAATAATTTTATGTTTTTGTCCAAATGAATTTCTTGTGCATGTTTCGTTAAACCGGGTGTGGCTCCAACACCACACACCTTAGATCGTTTCAAAGAGTTAATCACAGATGACTTTCCAACATTAGGATAACCAATTACTCCGACAACAATTGAAGTTTTAATATTATAACTACGAGAGTAATTTTTAAGTAGATTAATCAAAGCGTCTGCACCTAGACATTCGCTACCATGCTGTAAATTACTGTCTGAAATTGTTGCTGTAGATGCACGCCCAAGATTATTGCGCTGTGTTTGCGTTGAAGATCTGAAAGCCACAGTAGGATATTCTTTACGTAAATACTCAAGCCATTGCATGACATTTTCTCTGGGGACAAGATCTAATCGATAAACAAATCAAATTATTGTTGGTATACATCAAATAATAATATGCATTTATCCAGAAAATTTGACATATGCCTCACCAATTTTATTTAGAACCAAAACTATCCTCTTCGTAGATCCACTACAATCAACCATCTTTTCAACCTGTTTGGTCCTATGTCCTAACGGATCACGAGCATCCAAAATTTCCAATATAACATCAGCAGCATCAATGACCTTTTGGAATTCTTTATAATATGCTTTGTGTGAATTATCTTTGTGGCCAATAGCTACAGCGTCCATTGCTGTAGAAATCTCGTCTTCAGCTTCATTGGGATCGTTAGGGCCACTTTCAAAAGCTACATCACGCTTTGATGCGTCTTCAGCAAGTGATGAAAAATTGAGATTACGATTCTTATTGAACAAAGCGTTACGGGCTTCCTTTTGGCGTTGTTTTTCGTCTTCGATCTAAATAACAAAATGTACATAATTGAATATAATTTTATGGGTAGCTTTTGTTGATAACAATAATAAATTACCTTCCGTTTTTGCTGATCAATTTTATTTAAAAGTTGATTCTTAAATGGCCATAAATTTGGTATACCCGGATCTTTTTTCAGTCCTAAAAACGCAAATTGTATTATATTAATAGTGATGCCGGTAAAATCCCTGTTCATTAAAAAATTGAATAAAAGATAATAATAATAATATGGAAGTTTGCAATATATTATAATTATGAATATTATGAATAAAATTTTTGAGATATAAGTTTAGTCAAAGTTCGGGATTTAACGCAGACAAATAAATTCTATAAAGGGTTTGCATTTTAGCGACAAATATAGAGAACCATCAAAATTCGAAAACATACTCTTTGACCGAGGATTTTTTTTAGCTTCTTTCCTCTCTTTCCGTCGGTGCTCTGCGACTTTTCGCGCAATTTTATAACGTTTTGCGCAAGTCATACGCTTGCTTTGAGTTTCTATAAGATGTTCGAGACATTATCAATGTTTAAATTAAGCTAACTTTTGTTCTTTAAAGTTTAGAATTCT